CCCCAAAACCCCAAAACCCCAAAACCCCAAAACCCCGAGTGATCAATACACAATAGAATAAAAGTTATATTATAGTATTAAGAATCAGTGAACATCTATTGAAGCGTTACTCAGTTTTGGATATGACTTGCAAATTTATTTGAAAATTAAATCCTATCTCTAAACTTGTTTCCCAACCCACGAGTACAACTCTAAGGAAGTTAGGAGTTTAGCCACATAACTAAACACCATAACTTGGAAAGTAATATAAGAAGTTTAATACTGATTTAACTTATATAAAATAGTTCATGAATTAGCTGTAAAACGGAATTTATTAAGGGTGATACATCTCTGTTCAGGAACATTCTAAAAGACAATGGTCAACACCAGACTTAGAGGAATTACTATATTTGAAGGATTATTAATCAAGTATATGGTCATGGTAAAGGACCTAGCCAGACTTGGTAGGGTCAAAGAAGGTTTGGAAAATATATACCTCAAACAAAGCATCCCAGGATAACTTATTTAGGAGCTTTAACCATACAGCAGACTCAGCTTGAGAAATATGCGTTATGAAACATTATGAATTAAAATTATTAAAGTGTAGGTAATGGCGCATATCTAGTTGCCCAGTCTGGTCTTAATCGTCAGCTTTGCCGATCTCTTTGAGAATCCTGGCTGAGTCCAACTTGTTTAATATCGAGAGAGGCTTTTTGACTACCTCGCTCTTAAACATCCCTCTTAGCTTTGCAAATTTGTCTGAGTAAACCTTTTTGTGACGTTTCATAGTTGATTTCTTCTTTAATAAATCGTAAGATTTTTAGGTTTATCAAATAAAAAATGAGATTACATAAATATCCCTTATGGTAGGTAAACATCTGGAGGAAAATTCAACTAATTAGGAAGCTATAGCCCTAAGTAGATAAGCTCTATATATCAAGAGTTTTCGGAGAATTATTAGTCTCATATTCTTCCACAAGAAACCATTCGGAAGAAGACTGCTATAAAGCTATTTCAATTATGAAATATTATTGAGATAAAGTAAAGATTTCTTAAGATATGCATTATCAGAGAGTGCGGAAATAGGACTTCTGATAGCCATAAGATGGATATGAACAGCCAAAACTTAATAATAAAGGATTTGAGATGCCTAGCAATTTTCTTGAGAAAAATATACTTTATGTTAATTTCACTTACCATTATAGTTTTAATAGCATTTGGGTACTTTTGAAGTTTGTTTTCTTGCTCTATTCCACCAAGAGCACTATGATCTTGTGTGGTTGGGCACAGAATCTGCTTTAAAGGGCTTTTACCACTCAAATTAAACTTATTGAAATCTTTCAGCTTGACTTTGCCTTTATCGTTCAGTAACTTACTCTCATTTGATGAAGTCCCATTTACTACTAGAGGGATACCTTCAGAAGGTACAAAGTCATCATTATTGCAAATGATCTCTTTCTCGCTTTGCACCTGGAAGCACATCGAAGTTAAAATTTGTGTGCAAGCTCTATGGTTGCCTGTATCCACTCTAGCATTAGTGTTAGTTTCATTCTTTTCTTGATAGCTGGTCTTAATCATATTTTCAATATTTAATATAAATTCTGGGGTTTTGGGGTTTTGGGGTTTTGGGGTTTTGGGG